GTCCCCCTATTTATAGCCGGTATGTCCGAGATTCAACAGTTGAGATCAAGACGATCTAACGGCTCTCAAGAAAACCGGCTGCGCGACCCCCAAGGTGAAATCAGTTTAGCACATTTTTTGACGTCCGCGGAGTCTATATATCGCATGATGTCCACGCGTGAACTGTACATGACCCGCGTTATCCTTGATTGAGCTGAACAACGAACTGGTTTGACCGATGAATTTTCACGAGGCARCCTAGACTTCAGGTCAAATCCACCTGTCACGTTGTGAACTCCCCACACCAGGTCAGGACCCCTGGCTTGGGGAGTGGGGGGCAATTGATGGAGGGTGATTTGACCCGACCTCATCATAAGAGGACATGTGGACGTGACTCAGCATAAGTGACAACTCAGCACGACCAGTCTGCCAAGATCCAGCGTGGCAACTCGGTACCAAATGACACTCTGATTATCCCGAGCTCCTCCCAAGTAAAGAAGCCCCCGAGCTCCTCCTTAGTAAGGAGCCCCCGAGCTCCTCCTCAATAAGGGAACACCCTGAGCTATGATTCTTCCAAGGAAGCGTCCCGAGTTAAGGTTCTCCCAAGATAGGAATCTCCCGAGCTAAGGTTCTCCCAAGATAGGAATCTCCTGAGCTCAAGGCACTTCAGGGTGAGCTCGGGAGCCTCCTAAGAATAAATTTATTCCCGCTCAAACATAAGTAGGCCACCTCGGGTAGAAGCACCTCGATGCGGCACCTGCAGCTTGACACAGGGTAGCTCGGTGCAAGGCAGCTCGTGGAAAAACAGTTCGGCGTATCACAAGAAGATCTCCTGTCTGACAACCATACCTGCCAAACTTGGAGCCCTGCACCCACGTCTCTCGCCAGACGGCGTTGTGCCTACCAACCTTGAGAGGTGTCCCCCGCTTGGCAGGGCCGTACTCTACAACAGTTACCTGTGCAGCCCTAGCAAGTAACGGCTGCGACAGAGAATCAGAGGCGGTTATGCCTGATTTGACAGGCCACCACTATATAAGAGCTTCGGCCCCCAAAGAACAAAGGTAATTGCAAAATTGCGCATCTCCACTCTTAGCTTATTTCTCTGCAACTCTCTTTCTCAGCTTTGCACCAAGTTCTGACTTAAGCATCGGAGTGTTCCCACCGGGAGAGCTCCCTGGGAATCCTTCACCTTCTTCCTCGCAGGTATCTTGTCCGGTGCCAGTTAGGAGCGCAACCTCTACTAGGTAGGAGTACTCAGATCGCGCACCATCATGTTTCATTGCAATCAACTCAAGGACAATGACATAATAGCATTTGTTATTGTCTGTACCATCTCCTTAATGGCCATTTAGAAAATATGAACTTATATGTGTTAACTTAATAAATTTTTACGAAGATGGGATTAAGGGGTTAATTTTAAATTTGAGAATATGCGAAAACTATCACAAATATATAGTATTGTTTTATCATAATTAACTTATGGACAGTGATATAATAGTATTGATTAGTGTATACACCATCTCCTTAATAGCCATTTGGCATATATGGGCTATATATGTCAACTTGATAAACATTTACCAAGATGAGATTGCATTTTCTTCATACAATTTCTTCTTTGAATGAGTCATATTTTGTAATAAGGGCATTTTAGCCTTTGTTTTTTCAAAAGAAAATGAGAGATTGACATTGAAGCAATGTTGGCTTTGACACCAAATCATTCAAGATAATAATTCCTACATAGGAATTTGTCCCAACTTTTGTAGACTTATATATGTTTTCGGATTATGCTTTGGGCTCGAATTTAGAATTCTAAATTGGACCTGTCCGTACTTTCCCCTATGAGATATTATCCATGTACGGTCGCAAAAGGCTGTGATGACCGTGTGAGGACAATAAGTCTGTGATGACAATTTTATGAGTACTGAATCGAGTTCCGCTGAGACTTGCTGTTCCGACGAGAACGTGGACAGCAGCAGACCGACGCAGCAGTACGTTGTACGTGTGTACGCTTGTAGGCTGCCAAAAGCACAACCATCCGGGTGTCATGACTCATGACAATGGAAGAGGGAGATATGCGTACTACGCACTGAGCGTATTTCAAACAAAACTGGTTTTAAATGATTAACGAAGCGCCGATTTCAGTTGCTCCTATCTCCCTCCTTGGATTTCGATCTCCAAAGCTATCATTCTTCTCTGCAACTTCTCTCTGTTATCTCCGACGCCGTTATATCTTCGAGAAGCGTATCGGAGAATACTTTCCATCTCGACCGTCTATTTTCTCCAACATCCCTCTTCTTGTTGCTTCTTTCTCTGTTCATTGTTTCTGAGCTTTGGAAGACGACAATGGCAGAGGATGAGGGGAGTTAACCCCATGAATCAATGTAGCCATGGATCTAGCGAAATGGACAGCCAAGATTTTGTGACTGAAAGAGTGCTAGGGTTTCAGTCATGGCGGCAGAAACGTCTCGCAGCTGGATGGACTCTTACAAGGGCATGTCCTCGGACAACATCAAGGGTCTGGTTCTGGCACTGTCGTCGAGTTTCTTCATCGGTGCTAGCTTCATTATTAAGAAGAAGGGGTTAAAGAAGGCGGGAGCGTCTGGAATTAGGGCAGGTAAATCGTAGAGAAATCATTTTTTTTTGGTTCTCTGGATTCGAGTGGCTCTTTTTTTTTTCAAGTCTTTGGAGGTGTGATTGATGTAATTTGGGAATTACGATTGATCTGCGCTATGTTTATTTAGTGGTCTTTTTGTCCAATTGTTGAGATCTTAGATGTTTTTGGTGATTTTGTTGAACTATAATGAATTCATTTGATGTTGTAGCACGGCATTATAATTATAATTGTCTGCAACCTTAGCTTTCTAAAGTAGTGAACCAAAAAAAGGAAAGCTTAGCTTTCTAGAGCATATATCATAAAATTCTATCATTTGGATATTCTTATGAAATTAATTTTGGTTAGTTTGCATTTGTATTGATGATAGCAGCTTGAGGAGATCGATTCGACGGTTTTGCATGAAGGGTCATGTAATAGATCCTGGTTGATTAGGTTGGGGAATATTAAAGAGTATACTGTTATCTATCATGAATTTTTTTTTCAAGAAACACTGAAAAAACAGATTACAACCAAGGCCCCCAATGACAGGAGCCAAACACACACAACCACCTACAGTACATCATAACTCAAGGAAGTCCCTAGATCTCAACCGAGAACAAAGAATAGAAGCTTGGAGGCCCTTGGCCGCAGCCACCCAAGAGATGAGCTTGCCGAAAGCAAAGGCAATCAAGCAATCTATATTAGAAGTCTTATTTTGAAAGATTCTTCTGTTTCTTTCAGTCCAAACTGTGCATAAAATGGCTGCAGGCAGGACACGTTTGATCATGAATGGTTAGATTGTTGAATTTTTTTTATTCCAACAAAAGAAGTCACATTTGATCAAATGTTATCATGAATGGTTAGGATTAGTGGGTGCATTACATTTACTTGTACACGCAGGGATTCTCTTGAAATCACATTTGATCCTGTAGTGGATTCGTTGGTTTGCTTTTGTGTTATGTACCTTTTCTTTCCCCCTTGAGCTATCTCATCTAACATAGTTGTCAAGGCGGCTAGGTGAGGCTAGGTGACCATGGGACGCCCAGGCGCCTGGGTGATGAAATCTGTAAAGGGAACTGGTTCATCAAAGGAGAATCCCCCACCCAAGTTTGTTCCCAAAATTTAATGAGGTTTCCTGAATTCAAATCATACTTGATCCAAGGGGAGAAAACTGATAGAAGGTCATGGATGGGTTTCCATGGAGAAGCACTTATAGTCCCTGCCAGAATTCTAGGATCCCAACCATTGTCCCATGAATGCTAGCACTATCTTAGCCCACAACTTATCATTCTTTAGAGGGAACCTCCTCATCCACTTCCCAATAAAGCCATATTTCTTTTCCTAATATTCCCAATCCCAAGACCTCCTTGCTTCTTGTTTCTAGTTACCACCTCCCAACCCTCCCTATGGTCCCTCTTTTCCTCTTCTGGCTCCCACAAAAAATCCCTCATTAGCTTTTCTAGTTTGTTGGAGACCTCTACAGGGATCTTGAACATTGACATAAAATAGATGGGTAGATTAGCTAGGGTAGACCTATTCGGTGTGGTCCTTCCTCCTAAAGAGAGAGAATTCTTCTTCCAAGAAGCAAGTCTTTTCTCAAATCTTTCCACCACCAGAATCCAGAAACTTCCTTTCTTGGGGTTATCTCCTAGGGGAAGGCCTAAGTAATGCACAATCTAATATGAGATTGTACACCCTAGAGTACCTGCATACTCACTAATCTCCCTTCCCTCCACATTCACTCCTACTATACAACTTTTCTCAAAGTTCACCTTAAGATTGGCAATTTGCTCAAAAAGTTGTATAACCAATTTCATCTTCCTAATCCAACTCATGTTCCCACCTTCACAGAATAAGATTGTATCATCTGCAAATTGCAAGTGTGTAAGTGATATCTCCTCCCTTCCTACTAATCCAACTCATGTTCTAATATGTAATTTCCTTCTTTCTTCCTGCCTACTAATCAGGGGAAGATTTGTTGTTGTATTCTTTCTTGTAACCCTAATATAAATGATAAGATTAGGGGTTGTGAACAGTGCTTCAACCCATTCCTCTCAATCTTCTTCTTCTCCATTCTTCTTCATATCTAATCTGAAAACTAATAGATATCTCTTCCGCATTCTCATCTAAGTTGGAGCTGTCTTTAAATGATTCCTCCTTAGTGGATATGTTGAAGGTATTTTCAATAGTGCCATCTTCTTTTGCAATCTGTTTATCAAAGAACTTTTCTATGCTATTGTTTCCAAGATCTTCAAATATTTGTTAGGTGGAACCCTCCTGCCAATTTGGATGGACTGTTCAGCCCTTCTATTTTAAGAAGCACAGAAAAAGAGGATGGATTTTGTGGAGGTGTACAAGGGTAGTGGTATGTTGGAGAGTGTGGGAAGAAAGTAATGCAAGAATCTTCGAGGAAAAGGAGAGAAGCTTGGAGGTGCTAATTGATTGTATTACTCTTAAAGTTGCTCATTAGGTAAAAACCTTGAAACTTTTTTCAAACTTTAGAGTGGAGGACTTTTTCTGGAATTGGGGGGCAATTGTTGGCTCTTCATCTAGGAAACAAAAATCTCTAGAGGTTTGGTCACCCCCAATGGTTGGTCAGAAGAAGTTGAACTTAGATGGTTGTAGTATGGGTAATCTGGGTTCCTCGGGTATGGGAGGAGTTATTAGGGATTTGGGAGGCATTATTTGTGCTTTATTTTCAAGCCCAATTGAGCATTGTGATTTGGTCAAAGCAGGATTTTTGGCAGCAGTTTACGGGGTAGAGAAGGCCAAAGAATTGGGAATATTGATAGACTGATTATTGAAGGGGTTTCAAAAGTAATTGTGGATGGTTGAAAAAAGGAGAGGGGGTGACTTGGTAGCTGAGGAATGATTTTAGAAGATTCTTGTGGCTATCAAGACATGAATATCCAAGTACGTTCAGTTAGAAGATCTGCAAATAGCATGACAGATAACTTAGCTAAGCAAGGGGTTCAAAGATAGTTTATCTATTGGGCACAATTGTAATATGGGTTGGGTGGCTTGCCTTGTATTGGACTTACTTGTTCACAACTCCTTGTTGTATCTTCTTTTTTAATTGTTAATGAAACTTTCTCTGTGGTTGCTGATTAGAAAAGGTCTCCAAATCTTTGCATAATACATGAAGCTCAAACCTTGCCTTCTTTAAGTGCTTCTTCACTGCTTGCAAGTTCCTCATGGGCCTTTACTATGTTGTCCTGAACTGATTTATTTGAGGTGAAGAGGGTAGTGCAAAGGAATCAAGTTGCATTGGCTTAAGAGTTATTTTTTTTTTTATTATGTTTTAGAAAGCTATATGTATTCTTATCCCCATAATTAATAGTCTCTTTTTTTTTGGTAATAAAAAATTATTAAAATAAAAGAAAAGATATAAGAAAGGTGACTGGAAGTCACTGGAGAGAGTCAGAGAGAAGAAAAAAAGAGGATATAACCAAAACCCCAACTGCTGATTTAAAAGGCGTGCCTAGGCGCACAGGCGAGGCGCATTTTAGGGTATGCGCCTCGCCCAGGTCCTAGGAGCACCCCTTTCAAAAGGCACATGGATGGTGCGCCTAGGCGTGCGTCTTTTTAAAATTCTGCACTTTTGCCTTTTTTTTTACCCTAACGGCTAGGCCGGGGGCTCCGTCCCTGGACCCTCACTCATGCCCCTTGAGGCAAGCCCAAACAAGCCCATGTTAGGGTCTTAAATCCTTAGTTCTCACACAAAAAATAATGATTTTATAGTTTTAATTGCTTTTTAAGAAGATATTTTATTAGGATGAATGAATAAACAACATTACGAAATAGGGGGTTCTACTCCGCTCCGGTTCGCTCGCTTCGCTTGCTCACTGAAGCTCCGAGAACCCCCTATTGCTAATGTTCATTCATTCATTCCAATGAAATATCTTCTTAAAAGGCAATTAAAGTTATAAAATCATTATTTTTTATGTGAGAAATAAGAATTTATGTCCCTAACATGGACTTATCGGGCTTGCCTTGAGGGGCGTGGTACAAAGGCGACTCATAGAATCAAGAATGCAATATGTTTTACATCACATTAGCTACTTGAAGTAATGCAATTGAGGATAAAAAGAGATTGTGGGTTTTACATGCTTGAAAATGCTTTATATGTTTGCTTTTATTTTGAAGTTTTCATTTGAATATGCTTTATATGTTTACTTTTATTTTGAAGTTTTCATTTGAATATGCTTTACATGTTATGTTTATGTATTTTAATTTTAGATAATAGGTTTTTTAAAACATTTATTTTAAAATTTAGGTTTATATTTTTTATTATCATTATGTTTAATATTTTTTTGATTTTTTTTGCATTTTTTGAAATTTCTGACATTTGTTTTTATTTTTTAGTTTTTTTTTTTGTAATTTTGTGCCTTGCTTCAAAGAGGTGCGCATCTCGTCTTGTTTGCGCCTCAGGTGCAAATTGGCCCTTGTGCTTTTTTTTGCGCCTTGTGCTTTTAAAATACTGATTAAGACACCTCAAAAAGATCACTAAGCACAAAACCATAATTAGAAAAAACTCTCTGCCTTGGACCCAGAGACCCAAACCTGAAAAGCAAAAAACTGACCAGCAAAACAGAGCTCTTCATAACCTCTTACAACAGCACAATCAAAACAACCCAGAAAAATCTCCCTCCACCTGAAGAACAACAAAAACAGAAGCCTCTACTTTCTCTTATGACCCTTCTTGTGTTTCAACATTTTTTTACTTGGATCAATCCCAAAGAGCCATCCTTTTTGTCTAGCAAAAATACTTGACATCATAATTTGGCAATGCTTTCTCTGATGTTTGAACCTTCTAATTGCCAAACTGTCCTTCCTAAATTCCAACAAATCTCTAGTCTCATTAATTCTTTCCAATTCCATAACTGAATTCTTCTTAAACAATTGATCTTCTTCCAAGATTTTAACCTCATCAGTGGTGGCTCTTGTAATTTTATCAGTTCTCTGTTCAAAACTAGAGCTAAAAACTTCAGATCTGAAATCTAACTCCCTTGAGGGCAAAGGATACCTTACTTCCAGATCCTCAAACATCTTTCTAGTAAAAGCATCACCCCCTAAAGCCAGTAAACCCAAGGCTTTGTTCACCCCAACTGCTGTATTTATGATCTTTTCCACATTAACTTGCTTTTTAACTTCATGGATCTCATCTATCAAAATCTCCTCTCCACTTGAGTCATAGTCCTCATCTTCTTCTTCATCACTCCCCCAAACTGCCTCTCCATCTTTTAGAGGTCTAGTATGGTAACCTCTTCTCTTGTTGTAAGTCTTTAACCCACCAACTCGTCCTACTTCTTTATCTCTACCTCCTCCCCCTTCAGTGTGAGCCCCTTCTTTACTTTCAAAAGTCCAACTAAGTGTTTTTTTTTTCAATAGAAACCTTCCCACCTAGTGCTCTAAAATCTATAGGGTTTTTCTTTTTGCCTCCAATAGGAAAAGCCTCCTCGCTCATATCTCGTTCTTTTTCTTCGTCCAAACCTTCTTTTACGTTGTTGATATGGGTGTCCCTTTTCCTTCTTTTACGTTACTCATTAAAACATTACAAGGAGCTTGGAAACTTTGTTATAACCTTTCCTAGGTCTTACCATGGTGGTTTTAATTTTGGTAAGCCATTTCACAATTTCAATATTTTCTTGCATGTGATATTGAGTAATAGCTTGCACATGAAAGCCTAGCCTGGCTTTCCCTTCTCTTTGACTGAGTTGAAAGCCTAGCCTTCCAACATGGAGGAGAGGGGGAAGGTGTGAGTGGATGTTAGGAAGGTAGGAAAGATGAAGGAGAGAATGAACATCTTCGAAGCCAGTCTAGTGGGGAGGTTCGTGGGAAGGGAGATAGATGCCGGGAGAGTGGAAGCTTGGGCGATTTTGGAATGGGGTCAAGAGAGAGTGATGGGTGTCAGAAATCTAGGAGACAGTCTAATTCTCTTCATGTTCCACAGTATGAAAGCAGCGGATTGGGTGCGCTAGAAGTCGAACAATCGAAGATTGGGGAGGTAGAGCTCCGCCTAGGGAGATGGTATCCACCGGTAGGGGCGATTGATTCTGGAAACTCCAGAACCGCCTACTGGATTGTGGGAGATGGGATTCCCCTGCATGCGTGGTGTGTACTGACGTTCCAAGAGATTGGAAAGAAGTGTGGAAGATTCCTCACTTACAACCAGAAAAATCAAACTTGGGATAAGATGGACTTGGTGAAGATCCTAGTGGAGGTGGAAGACACATCTTGTATCCCAAATTTGATGTGGCTCAAGTTCGCTGGGGAACAATATCAGCTCAGGGTGATGGTGGAAGGTGAAGATAGGTATGCTCTACACTATTGTTGGGATGATCCCATGGGTCAACCTGTTATCCCGTGTAACAACTTTGAGGTGGAGTGGGTCTAGAAGCTACCGACGGATGATGGAGGGAGGAGAGCACACAATGGCGAGGTTGAGAAGGAAGGAGGGGTAAAAGTGGAAAGAAAATTTGGAAGAGGAAGGTAGACGGTTGAAGCAGGGAAATTGGGAAACGCAAATCGAAAGTTGACAGGGTTTGGGTAATCTCCAAGTTCGGAGGAGGAAAGAAGAAGAAGTTCTACTGCAGAGCAAGAGGAGGGAGTTTTAGTTGAAGTAGACAGAAGGAGGTTCTAGGTTCAATGTCGAGGAGAACAAAGAAAGCTGAAGAAAACCTTGCGTTAGTATCAGAGTCCAATACTGCGGCAGGGTCTGCGTCCAACTAGGTGAGGCTGACTAGTTTAGAAGAGGGGGTGAAAGGGGGAGGGAAGGAGGAGGAGGGGAAAAGGTCTGAGGGTAAGGAAGTGGAAGGGGTTGAGAAGGACGAGGGAGGGAGGAGTCCATTGTTGCTGGGTGATAAAGGGGGTAAGAGAAAGGTGGACATTAACAAGCTTGTGGAGAGGGAGATGGAGGTGGGTAAAACCTTTGGCCTGTTTTTCTGGGGAGGGGAAAGATTTGTGAGGAAAGCCTTCGAAAATTTGGAGAGGAGGAGAAGGGCAGAAAGGGAGAAGAAAATAGAGGTGGAAGGAGGCGAAGCGTAGGGCAAGGGAGAAATATAGGGTGAAGATTCTGTGGTAGTCCTGAAAAGAAAAAAAAGAGAGAAAAGAAAAGAGAAAAAAAAAGGAAAAAGAAAGGTAATTAAGAAAGGAAGACTAAAAGGATGAAAATCCTCTCCTGGAATGTTAGGGTATTGAGGGAGGATAGGAGAAGGATGGTGGTGAGAGAGTTGATTAGAAGGCTTAAGCCGGATGTGGTCTGCCTTCAAGAAACTAAACTGGAGGAGTTTGGGTTACGGGAGAAGTCTGAAAGCTGGGGTTCAGGTGTTGGGGAATGGTTGGAATTGAATGCAGTAGGACTTTCAGGGGGGCTTGGTTGTAATCTGGGACCCAAATGTGTTCTTGAAGGTAGGGGAGAAGGTGGGAGAATTTTCCGTGTCGGTCTGTCTCAAATCAGCATAGGGAGGTGAGTGGAGTTGGGGAGTCACTAATGTCTATGGCTCGAATGAGGAAGGTAGGAGGGAGGAGGAGGAGTTCTGAGAGGAGCTGGAGGAGGTTAGACGGTCTTTGGGGGGGGGGAGG